GGTAACTGATTCTGTCTAAATTTGGTGTGTGTAGCGTGTATGGGCTTAAACGGGTGATAGGTGTGCATGAACCTAGACTGGTTATTTTGAACGCATGTGTATCTGAGTTGCTAGTGTGTGTGTGTGTGTGTATACACACACACACACACACACACACACACACACACATATATGGCACTGTGTGCATGATATATGAATTAGTGATCTGTGTGATTTTTGTCTAACTTTTGGGGTGTATAGTGTATGTGCTTGAATTGGTGATAGGTATGCATGTGCCTAGGCTGGTTTGGATGTGTATTGTCTGAGCTGGTAGTGTGTGTGTGTATGCAACTAATTGATTTTTGTGTTTGCATATTTGCAATTGTACACCATGCCCTCCTGTCTAACAGCGCAATATTGAGATCCTGAGCATTGGCCTGACCCCTCAGGGCAACAGTCTAACTACTTGCTCTCCAATACAATTAGCACATAGAGGGTGTGTCTGCATGTGTATTTACATGCACCTAAACTTAATGCATCTTTGCTTAAGCCACATTAATATGATTTAGGTGTGCATCTACATGTAACTGCACTAATGTGCATTAAGGAACATTAACTTTTACGTGTGATTAGCTGAGTCGTATTAGCCTACGTGCAGATGCATTAATGAGCATTAAGCATCATTGGGCTAATGCCACTTAATTGCTCCTAAATTTGATACTTGCTTTATACAAGTATCAAATTTAGGTGAGATTAGCCTAAAATCTCCATTTTTAAGGCGCATTAAGGGTGTGCACGTGTGGACACACGTCCTTAATGCACCTTAAAAATGGTGATTTTAGGTTAATCCGGGCACTTTACCAAGGGGTATGTGTAGACATGCCCAGACAAGGGCAGGAAGGAGATTTGTGCAGGATCGTCTCTTCCAAGCTGCACTATTTCTGCAGCGTGAGTCTGTAACAAGGGCATGGAACATGGGAAGAGATGGAAGAGAGCTACTCTGCAAAGTGTTTATTTATTACCTTTATGCTGACTATCAAATACACATTTGTTATAAAAGAATGTACACACTGTGCTAATTCACACACCAATTTCATCATCCAGCCAATTCTATAACTTCATGGTTTTGATCCTAATATGGCACCAGAATGGCAAAACTTGCATGGGACAGATTTCATCTTTGGATCCATTCATTCAGATGATATATTTGCAGGGCAGGGCATAATCTAGATTTTTTTTGTACACACAGATAAAGAAGGTG